CTGTATAGGATGCTAAGTGTCAAGTGAAGACTTGAACACACACAAGGATCCTAGTTAACATATAATAACACATATATGTATCCAATTAGTCATTAAACAACTAATTAACCAAGTTTAAGACATCCTAAGACATGTAAAACACTTTATTTAAGTGTTATAAGTACCAAGGATTGCCTCTAAGGGTGGTAGGACCTTGCATTTGAGTTTAGGGTTCAAGGGTAAACTTCTTTGGAGTTTACGGTTTTGTGACCAACTCTTATTGAGTTTACGGTCGTAAAACCATGAGTTTACGACTGTAAACTCATGGTACCTTTACCATTTTGTGTTTTGAAGCTTAAAAGGTCATAAGAAGCATTCCTACTTGAAGTATAAGTATTTGGAAGTGATTAGGGCACCATTTCACTCCTTTGTGGAGTTTACGGTCCTTGGACCATTTCTCTTTGGGTTTACGGCCGTAAACCCAAATGGTTTATGGTCTTTTTGATGTTTTAAGTCCTAAGCACATCAAGGATGGGATCTAGACTAGTTTCCAAGGCTTGGTAAAGGACTAGGGCACACTTTGGCCCCTTTATTAGGGTTTACGGTCCAAGAACATCTTGGACCGTAAACACCTTTGATCTTGTGTTTCTTTGGTGTTTTCTAGATGATTAGAAGTGTAATAAGTCTTATAATACACGAGGGTAAGAGTACTTACTATGTAGAAGCTTGAAAAGGTGCTAAAAGTCCAAGAACACTAGTGTGTGTTCTTGGTGTTCTTGGTGAAACTTGAAGATCTACACTTTTGGAATGATTTCATGGATGGAATCATGTAAGATCACTAGATTAAGTAAGATATCAACTTTTTAGGGATAGAAACACTTACAAAGTTGAAGATCAAGAAGAAAAGTTGGATGATACTTGAGAGGATTTGAGTTTGGATCTTGAAAATGTGAAAAAGTGGTAAATAATGACTAAGTGTCATATTTATACCCCCTTTTAGGGTTTACGGCCGTAAACACCTTTGTTTAGGCCGTAAACTCCAAACTCTTGGAGTTTTGGGACATTATTGTTGCACAATAAACCCTAGGGCATCCTCTCTCCTGTTATCTCCCGAAGTACTAACTTAAAAACACTCAAACTTATTCCAAAAAGCTTGAAAGTTAGCAGAAACTGTTCTGACTTCTATTGAATTGAGTGGTTGTACAGAATAAAAATCTCGGGTTGTCACAGCAAACCCTCGCATGAGCCGCAAACGAGGTTCGCAACCGTAAACCTCGGTTCACAGCCGAGAACCCACTCTTCGGACTGTAAACCTTCGGTCTTATCTACTCGGTGCGAGAACCAACGATGGTGTCACATCAGTTTTGACCCTATTTAGGGACCAAACTGTAAACTCCTCATCACTTCTTCACTTCTAGCCGAAAGCAAACCTTTTGCTCTCAAGAACTCCAACCATAAACACCTCTTCTCTCTCAACTATCATCCATCATCCTTTGAATCTTCATAGGATCTTGCCAAGAACACCAAGTGTTCTTCATTTCATCAACCAATCTTTTTCCCATATTCATATTTTGGGCCGTAAACCCTTGAATCTCCTTGGTTGCACCAAGAACACCAAGAACACCATTGGGGCCATGAACCCAAGGGCTGGCCGTAAACTCCTTTCAGCCTTCCGTTTGGCCTCTAACACTCGTAATTGTAAGTAAAACTTACAAATAGGTCCAATTCCCCATCATTCTTATGATTATATTCACTAATTGTATACATATATATTACATGAAATGCTAATTAGGACTCGGTTTTGCTACGGGACTTCACTCGTGGAAATAACATCCTATATCGAACCTTCAAACGAATCACTAACCTAAAGGTGAGTTCATACCCCTACGCTTTCACTATTTTTCCATGTTTTTAGGGGGAGAATACAAGTAAAAACACAAGGAAAGCTTGTGTTAACATTCAAATGATTTCAAACAGTTTTAAAACATGTCGAGCTATTTCAACCGATGTAAACTATTTTAAAAGAATGTTTCAAACTACTTAAATTGTTTTATACTTTTATTTTTCCAAAATACATGTTTATATATATATATATATATATATATATATATATATATATATATATATAGAGAGAGAGAGAGAGAGAGAGATGATTAAGATCCAACAGGCTTAGGACTGGTGTTTCCACCTTAACTCCTGTTCCTTGTCTGGTTGTGGACTAGGGTTGGAATCACTTGTCCGACTGCCTGATTGATCTAAATTATATATATATATATATATATATATATATATATATATAGGACATGAAACGTATTTAAATAAAGTTTTAAACCCTTTTGTAACACGTCGAGCAAAAATGTATTTTCCTCAAATTATTTCATTATGTTAAACAAACTGTTAAATTGCTAGGATTTTCATTACTTACAGAACATGCATATAAACTATAATAGATATAGTTTAGGGACTTACATATTACAGTTTTCAACTACGAAAAGGATAATATATACAATATATCACTATAAAAAGGCTTTTCTTTATTCTACACGTAATCGTAAATATAGATTTGTGAGAGTTACATTCCAGTACTTATCCAAGTGCCAACGAAAGCCCTGATTTTATAACCAGAGTCTCCTGAAGGGAGAGCGAGAGTTTGTGTATAGATCTATACGGGACTGACAATCCCGCACCCTGACTGTTAGCTACAGTTGTCCTGGGGTGACAATTGTCATAACAGTTATGACACCCGAAGACGTCGTATCAGGCCATCCTAGTCATTAGCATGGTTATAATAACTCACAATTTGGTATTAACAATACGATTAGTGTATGAATACGTAAACAACTTTACATAGTTTTATACAATAACAAAACTACAATCCAATACTTTACAGTACAACTGATGGATCCAGGAACATACATACGAACTAGTAACATGAACATACATCGTAGAAAGGACCTATAATGCTAATTCTATGATTCCTTGGTTTATACTCCATGGTTATATCTAAATAGGACCCGATAGGTAGTAGAATGTGTGTTTTCCGCTTCATTTCTTGTTCCTTGTTTGGTTGTGGGCTTAGAGCAGATTCACACCGTCTACTATCTACTCGATTTTGGTTGTGAATATGATTCGTATACACTAAGTAATCATAGGGGGAAACAGGTATGAGTCAGGTCATAACATACAAGTACAACATACTATTTTCTAATACAAAACTTACTTTTCTGAAGGGAATGATTAACTAAGTACATACACACAAAAAGGGTTGCATACTTATACATTGTATTACATTACTTTTCTAAGTACTAGATATATTTCACTAAAAAAGGACCAGCACTGTTAACACTGAAATCGCCTAGTGAATACATCAGAGTTACATACAAAGCAGGTCCAACAAACAGTGGAATGTGTGATCTCCGCCTCATTTCCTGTTCCTTGTTTGGTTGTGGGCTTAGGGCAGAACCACACAATCGATTGTCTGTTTGATCTGGATTGTATATAACTTGTATCCACTAAGTGATTATAGAAAGAACTAGTATGAGTCACATTTCTTACAATAAATACAACATAAAATATTGGGTTTTCTGGAGGAACAAACTAAGGTTTTCATGGAACAAAGAAGATACTTTCTAAAACAAAATTCTTATGAACTCACCAACTTAAATGTTGATACACTTTCAAAACCACTTGTATTCCCAGGAAGCTAGTAGACATGTACACGTACAAGGATTTAGAAGATGGAGCATAGTAACTTCATGTCTTGTTTTGCTACTTACTTTTGGAGTCAATCATATGTGAATTGAATACAATGTAAACACTATAATATTTAATGCAATGGATGTTGTTGCTTGTTTTACTATTCTACATTTGTTGTGATACTGAACATGACGCCCTCCGCCCCCCGAATGTTTACGCCATCTCGGTTTGGGGGCGTGACATTATGTGTAGCTCAGTTTCGTTCATTCACTTACTTACTTCACACTATTCTCTTGTTTGGTTCTTTTAGTAGTATAGGGTTTGTTCTTCAGAGTATGTAACAAATTAGTATTCAATTTATGTGTCACTTATGTATTCAAACCTCTTGGCTGATTATGTTTTAAAGTTTATTGTAGTGAGATTTTGTTTGTATTTGTACTTTGTTTTTAATACGATGAGTTTATGAGATTCATCACTTAGTGGTTCCACATTCACGAACTTTATCTTTTTGGGTGACAACCTCATCTATGTCTATCCAAGTGCCATTGTGTTATTTCTCGTTTTAGTGCCAGAGTTAAATATCATATAGTGGTAAATACAATCATCAGAACATTTTGGTTTGTAATATGGCAATTTCAATATCGTATACTTGAACTTGATTCCCATGAAACATCAACACATGAAATACATAAAGATTGACATTTATTTTGTTCGAGATCAAGCAACCTTGGGGTTACTTTGTATGATTAATAAAGACAAATTTCACTAAAGTTACTAACTTTTCACAAAAAACTCGATTTTAATACTTTTTTTTTTGTCTAAAATTAGACATTTTATTTACCAATTTTTTATTATTCCGACCACTTAACAAGTAAATTTAGTTGTAAGTTGATGTAACACTTTTAATGATGTGACATACTGACATAAAAGAAAAAATAATTGCTTTATGTATAAAATCATAACATGAAATAATTTTATTGTACAAAACTAAAAAAGAAAATGGTTTTACAGTAAAACGTAATAAAATAATTTTAATTTTCAAAATATGTATGTTATATTGAAGCCATAATGCTAGGTAATCAGTTTTAAAGATTTGCAATTACTGAAAAAGGTTCTATAAAATATAATAATAATAATTTTATAGATTTGCAATTACTGAAAAGGTACTATAAAAAATAAAATAATTTTATTATACAAAATAATAATAATAATAATATTAATAATTATAATAGTCTGGATTTTTCTTGAGTTTTTAAAAGTTAATACTATAAGTTTTTATTTATTTATTTTTTCTTCTTCTTGTAAATCAATACGAATTCTTCGGTCTCTCGAATCCACAGACTTTAATGTTTAGGGCTTTTCTTTCTTCAAAGCGTTTCATCTCCCTCCAAAATCCACTCGTGTTCCCCTACTTCTTTTAGGGTTAGGGTTTCTTTGATCTCCTCTTTCCCTCTGCATGATATCCATTCGTCTTCTCCATCCATAGATCTTCGATCTGTACTGGAAAAGATGCCGTTGTTCTTGTCCGACGAAGAGTACGCTCGCTGCTCCCACGACCCTTCTTTGATTGCGCAGAAAGCCGACGCCTATATCAGAGAACTCTACAATCAACTCGAGACTGAAAAAGCTCAATACGATGCTTCCTCCATAACCGCCGAACAGACTTGTTCGATTCTCGAGCAAAAATATGTATCTCTGAAATCTGAATTTACTACGCTTCAATCGCAACACTCGCAGCTCAATTCTACTCTTGAAGAACGCGTCTCTGAGCTCGCTCAGCTTCAAGCGGATAAGCATCAAATCTATCTCCAATCTGTAATATCTCTATTTCTTTGCACTTTATATATGCTTATGGTTTTGTTTGGATAGAAATACTTGTTCAATGCAATCGATGCTGTTTTTGGTGAACTTCATCTGCTAGTTCTTTTCATGTCGATGATTCTCTAATATAATCTCTTAGGTTTTAGTATCGTATACATTTTTATGCTTCTTTTGTTATAACTTGTTGGAACTAGGTTGTAATGTGTGACCTACATATAATCTATCTGGATTAATTTGCAAAGGTATATTCATTTGATGTTGCTTTAGGGTTTTTTGGGTTTTCCAAGTGTGAATTTTTTTACTAAATTTAGTTGATGCACCCACATACATGCATTAATTATAGGAAACATTGACTCTACTGATCTCTCTGACAGAGGTAAAATTTTGTATGATCTGTTGGGAAATGCAAGCTGTGAATGTGTGCTCCAAGCGGACTTATTTGTGTTTGGAATGATTGTACTATTAAAATGTTCATTTACAATGATTGGAAGTTCTCTCTTACAATCATTGGAAGTTCTCTCCCTCGGATAACTGTTTATGTTTGCCAGAAAAATATGAATTTCTAATTTCTAGCTAATTTAAAAACCTAAAATCTAATTTGAAGAAGCTTAACTGAAGTGCATAAGTTGTTTAGTTTTCAGATGTTTGGAAAGTAAAAAACAAAATGATAATGTTTAGTGGTTATATTGATCCAGTAGTTGATAACTTGATATGGTGATAGATGTTATTTGAAATTATTTCCCCATTTTAAATAAAGGCGTTAGATCTTCATTATCATTTTTGTAAACCTTCAAGCAGACATGTAGTTAGGCTTTAGTTTGGCCTACTTTCCACTGCTTAATTTTGTGTAATTTCGATTGGAAATTGGAGATTAGATGCATGATTTAATCAATTATATGGATGATATAATCAATATTGTCTAATTGGTTTGTTTGAGAAGTTTTATTATTATTATTATTATTATTATTTTAAAAATTTTACCCATGTTACTGTTATTTGCCCTACATGAGCTCTTGGTTGGAGCCTCTGACCCTTTCTGAAACCACCTATGTAACAAAAATATTTTTTCTGAAAAGTTATTTCTATGTGTAGGTTTTCTAACTTTTATTTGGATTGTACTTTATTTAGATTGGCAAGGATGGCGAGATTGAAAGACTGTCATTAGAAGCTTCAGAGCTTCAAAAATCCAAAAGTCAGTTGCTGCAAATGATTGAACATAAGGATCTAGAGATCAATGAGAAGAACAGCAGCATCAAGGGGTATCTTGACAAGATTGTTTCTTTGACTGACAATACTTCCTCTAAAGAATCACGCACCAGGGAACTTGAGGCTGAGCTGGCACGTGCTCACACTTCTTTAGCTCGTTTAACTCAAGAGAAAGAATTAGTCGAAAGGCATAATGTTTGGCTTAATGATGAGTTGACCACTAAAATCAACAATCTCTTGGAGCTCAGAAAGACACATAATGAACTAGAGGCAGACATGTCTTCTAAACTTGCAGAGTTGGAGAGAAACTACAGTGACACCTGTAGTTCATTGAAATGGAAAGATGACAGAGTAAAGGAGCTGGAATCAAAGCTAGAAGCTTTACAAGAAGAATTATGTTTGTCTAAAGATACAGCTGCGAGTACTGAGGAAAGATTGTCTGCTGAGCTGTCAACTGTTAACAAGCTTGTTGAACTTTACAAGGAGAATTCAGATGAATGGTCTAAAAAGGCAGGAGAGCTTGAAGGTGTTATCAAAGCTTTAGAGACACATGCAAATCAGGTTGAAAAGGATTACAAAGAAAAACTCGAAAAGGAAACATCTGCTAGAAAAGAGTTTGAAACTGAAGTTTCAAATTTAAAAGCAAAACTCGAGAAGTTAGAAGCAGAATTGGAAAGTTCCAGAAACTCAGATCAGTTTAATCTTCTTCAAATGACCACATTCAACCCGAATTCATATAAAGACTCTATGGATAATGACAATAATCTAATGATTGTTCCCAGTATTCCAGCTGGCATTTCAGGGACAGCATTAGCTGCTTCTCTTCTTCGTGATGGTTGGAGTTTAGTTAAAATGTATGAGAAATACCAAGAAGCTGTTGATGCTTTGAGACATGAACAATTGGGAAGAAAACAGGCAGAATCGATACTAAAAAGAGTATTGCATGAAATCGAAGAGAAAGCTGAGGTCATATTAGATGAAAGAGCTGAACACGAAAGAATGGTGGAAGCATATGATATGTTAAATGAAAAACTACAGCATTCTCTTTCTGAACAAACTTTTCTTGAGAGAACACTACAGGAGCTGAAGGCTGAAATAAGAAGACATGAACGTGACTACAATTTAGCTCAAAAGGAGAACAAAGACCTTCAGAGAGAGGTGACTGTTTTGCTAAAGGAATGTCGTGACATACAGCTTCGTTGTGGCTCTGTTAATTACGATTCTGCCTATGAAGACACGAGTCAACTCATTGACCAAGATGGTGATTCTGTTTTGTCTGAGCGGTTGTTGACTTTCAAGGATATAAATGGATTAGTTGAGCAGAATGTACAGCTTCGGGGGCTAGTTCGTCTTTTGACTGAACAGATTGAGAGTAAAGAAATGGAGTTAAAGGAGCAATTCGAGAAGGAGTTTCAAAAACATAATAAAGAAACAGCTTCTAAAGTTGATGCGGTTTTAGCTAGAGCAGAAGAACAAGCAGGAATGATTGAGTCACTTCATACTTCTGTTGCTATGTATAAAAAGCTATATGAAGAAGAACATAAACGCCATCTTTTACCCCTGGAATCTCCAGATACAACACACATGGAGAGAAGGAGCAATGTTACTCTCTTTCTAGAAGGTTCTAATGATGCTTCAAAAAGAGCACAAGATCGAGCTTACGAGAGAATTAAGGTTCTTGAAGAAGAGCTCTCTGGGTTAAGAGGAGAGATCATTACTTTGAAATCACAACGTGACAAGTCAACTTTAGAAGCAACTTTTGCACATGAGAAACTCGAAAGATTTATGAAAGATTTTGAGCATCAGAGGGAAGAAACAAATGGGGTTAGAGCAAGAAATGTTGAGTTCTCACAGCTGATAATCGATTACCAAAGAAAGATTCGTGAAGCTTCTGAGTCTTTGCATACTGCTGAAGATTTATCCCGAAAACTAAACATGGAGGTTTCTGTTGTGAAGCGTGAGAAAGAAATTTTAATTAACTCTGAAAAGAGAGCATTTGAAGAAGTTCGTCAACTTTCTGAGAGAGTTCATCAGTTGCAGGCTACTTTGAATACTGTTCAAACTACTGAAGAAGTGAAAGAAGAAGCGAGAAGTGCTGAACGTATGCGTGAGGGCGATTATGTCAAACGTACAGAAAGAGAATGGGCAGATGCTAAAAAGGAGCTTCAAGAAGAACGTGATAATGTCCGAAAGCTCACACTTGAACATGGTTCAGCCATGAGAACAGCTATGCAAAGAATTGAAGAAATGGGGAAAGAATTGGCAAACGCGTTACATGCTGTTGCAGATGCTAATGCTAAAGCAGCTGCTGCAGAGGAACGCCTCTTGAAATTTGAGAAAACAAAGAGTTCTGAAGCAAATGACGAGAACGCCCCTACCCAGGAAGACGAGATGCGGGTTCTTAAGGAAGAGATTGAGAAGTTAAGAGTAGAAGCAAAAACCAACAAAGATCATATGCTGCAGTATAAGAGTATAGCACAGGTGAATGAGGCTGCGTTGAAACAGATGGAAGCTTCACATGAGAATTTCAAAGGTGAAGCTGAAAAGGTGAAGAAATCATTAGAAGAAGAAATTTTATCACTTAAAGAGGAGGTGAATCGGCTTCAAGAAGGGTATAATTTGAAAGCAAAAGAAGCAGCTTCTGCTTCTGTTTCACAAGAAGAAGCTCTTGTGAACACGTTGTCAGAGATTTCCAAATTGAGAGACGAATGTACTGCTAAAAACCTGTGTATCGAGTCCTTAGAGTCACAAGTGTCAGCCATGAAAGGTGATTTGGAAAAAGAGCATCAAAAATGGCGTACTTCTCAAGATAATTATGAACGCCAGGTCATACTTCAGTCTGAAACAATTCAGGAGTTAACAAAAACATCACAAGCATTGGGTTCCTTACAACAAGAAGCATCTGAGCTCCGTAAGGTTTCAGACATTCTCAAAATTGAAAACGAAGAGCTGAAAAGCAAGTGGGAGACAGAAAAGAAGGTTCTGGAAGATTCCAAAGATAGAGCCGAAAAGAAGTATAATGAAATCAACGAACAGAACAAGATTTTACATGATCAGCTCGAGGCCTTACACATTAAGGGAGCAGAAAAGAGTCTTGGTGGTGCTCAATCCTCTGATACTTTTGATGATGCGGGATTACAGAATGTGGTGAAGTATTTGAGGCGATCGAAAGAGATTGCTGAAACTGAAATCTCTTTGTTGAAACAGGAAAAGCTTCGGTTACAATCACAGCTTGAAAGTGCTTTGAAGTCTCAAGAAACAGCTCAAAATTTGCTTCGTGCTGAGAGGGAGAATTCTAGATCAGTTCATTTCACAGAGGAGGAGTTCAAGGCGTTGCAGCTTCAGGTTAGAGAAATGAATTTGCTTCGTGAAAGTAACGTGCAGCTTCGAGAAGAAAACAAACATAACTTTGAGGAATGTCTCAAGTTACGTCAATCTACTCATACTGTGAGGGCTGAAGTTGAAAATTTGGAGAGTTTGCTTGGTGAGAGGGTGAATGAGGTGGAGGCTTGTAAGAGGGAGATAGAGATGCTTAAGAAGGAGAAAAACGAGTTGCAGATTAAAGTGAATGAGTTTGTTGAAAAGTTCAGAGATATGGATCCTGAAGAATATGGTCGGATGTGTGCGGATTTGCAGGATTTGAAGGTAAAAGTGTTGGAGAAAGATGGGAACTTGGAGGAGGTTAAGAAAGTTGTTTTGGAGAAACAGGAGGTGATACTGAGATTGGAACAGGAGATTGGTAAGAGTAAAGTGGAATTAGATGAACGGGAATCGAGGTTAAACAGCATTGGTGAAACGGAGACGTTTTTGAAAGCAGAAGTTGAGAGGCTGAAGAAAAATTATTTTCTCATGAGACGTAGAAATGACATTGTTGTGAAGGAGAAGGAGGAGTTATTAAAGAAGAATCAAGAACTTTCTAAAGATTTAGCTGCTGATTCGAGCCAAGTGAAAAAGAGTAATGTGGATAGCAGTTCAGTTGAACAAGCAGCCATGACTAGGGAAAGAGAAGAGAAAGATACGAGAATTCAGATGCTTGAGAAGACTGTTGAGAAGTTAAGAGAGGAGTCAAGGGAGAGAGAAGAGAAAGATAAACGTATACAGATGTTGGAGAAAGTTATTGAAAGGCTTAGAGAAGACGTGAGGAAAGGAAAAGACGAAGTTAGAATCGAGAAAGAGAAAGCAAAGAATCAAAAGAGTGACAAGGGAATTGTTGATTCATCAAAGCTGGCAGATGACTTGGAGAAACATAAACAGGCCTTAAAGACCCTTTCGGAGGAAATCGAAAAGATGAATTCCGGCGACTCCATTGATGAACTCGCTGCAGCTTGTCTTCTTGCTGTTGAAAACTTTGAACAAGTTGCCAATCAAGTCTCTGGTGAGTTTGGACTTCCGGTCACCACCACCACCGAGTCACCGCCAGCCGACTCCGGCGCACCACCACCAGCTGTCCCTCCACCTCAAAACACAATAGAAGAAAGTGCAAAACCAGCATCAACTGATAAAGCAAGAGTGGAACCACGTAAAATTGCGCGAAGGCTAGTTCGGCCTCGTATCGTAAAGCCTGATCAAGCGAAGTCAAAGGGCGATGTTGACATGTCAGATTCTGTTGCAACCAACTCACAACAGTCGTTGTCTGTACGCAAACGTCCTTCAGAGGGACAAGAGGGATCACAATCAAATGCGCGTGAGAGCACCGGTTCCGATGTGGCAGCACCAATTGTCAAGAAATCCAGAGGCTCAGAACCACCACCCGAGGCTCAAAACATGACAGATGCTCCCGAAAGTGTAATACCCGAAGAGGCTCCTCCGGTCAATGTTGTAGACGAAAGTCAAACTTTGAAAGAAGATATGGATACAGGAAGGGAAGAGGAGGTTGAGACTGGTGAAGAACAGGGTGTTGAAGATCTTCAAACGGAATCACAGAATGAAATTGGTGAGGCGGAAGTTTCCGAGGATCAACCAAAGGTGGTTATGGTTATGGAGGGTGAGGTTGCAGCAGGTGAAGTGGGAAGTGAGCCTGAAGAAGGTGAAATGGTGTCGGATGCTGTTGTCAGTAACCAAGAAACTGGGGAAGGTCAGTTGGTTGAGCGTGGGAGGAGGTCGGCTTCACCTATGCCGGTTGAAGATGACGTGGCAGGAGAGGATACGCTTGGGGTGATGGAGATGGGTTCTCCATTGTTGACAATGGAGGACACTGAAGATAAGAATGAGGAAGGTGAAATAGAAGTGGAGGAAACTACCCCCGAGAGTTCAATGGATAATAAGGTGAATAACGATGGGAATGATGAAGAGGCTGCTGTTATTGATCATGTTGAGAAATCAACAACTTCTTCTGCTGTGACTACTGTGACTGTGACTACTGAAACTGGAGGGTCAACAACAGAAGTGAAACCAGAAGAGTCAGCAGCTGCTGCTGGTACTGGTACCGCTGACACAAGTAATTCGACAACAATTAATTTGAATGAGAGAGCAAGGCTGAGGTCTTTACAGAGACTGGCGGGAACAAATACGTCGCCTCCTCCTCCTGCTGCCGCCAGGGGTCGTGGACGGCCGGTCCCACGTGGACGGAGTGTTCGTGGTGGACGCGCTGCTGGCCGTGGTGGTTCTGGTCAAAACCCTGGTTCTCAAGGTTATATTTTATAATATAATTTTCTGTAACCTTTATATTATTTTATTAAAACCATATATTGATTTTTCTTGGGATTTAATTGGCAGGAGGAATGTGATGCCAAATGCAACCAAGAAAGCACTATCACCTGTTGTTGACATGAATCATGTTTTCCATTGTCAGGTACTATAAACTATAAACACACTTATTATTTATTTTGATTTTTTTTTAAATGGTTTTATGAATTTTCTACTATTTTAAATACAGAAGGGTTGGGATATGAAGTAAAAAGGGAGCAGGTAGCTGATGTAAGTAGTTAATTTGAAGATTCGTGGAGCTGGTGGATAGAGCAGAGGTTTGTATTGGAGGATTTAATTATGTTATTCTAGGGTTTTCTATTTTTTTTTATTAATCATTGATTGGTATATGTTATTGCAGGGATTTGTTTTTGAATGATGGCTGATTGTGGAGTTTGAGTTAAAATTTTGTTTGAATGTATGGAGTTTTGCGACTGGGATGAAATACTTGGGTGGATGGCTTATTTTTTTGCAAGGGTTTGGGAGCTGAATGAAGTATATTAAATTAGCTACACGTTTAAATGATTTTCTTCTAAAAACGTGAATATTTTTAATTTCGCAGTTTCCTTAGTTAAATTGCATTTCAAAACCTTAGACTTATTGCTTATCAGATGAGTCAGAAAGAAGTTTTGTTATATTGTTCGTAGACATGTTCGCTTTCTATATTGCCATTGAGAATTAGTTTTGCATGATTTTAGACATATCCATTATAACATGGCTTAGGTAAGATAGGATACTTGTAACCAGTTTTAGGTTAGTTACGGAGTGATTATTAATTTTTTTTTGAAACAATAATAAGTTAATATTTTACTGCGAAACTTATAACTGAGCACCCACCAAGTCATTAACAAAGTATTAGAGATGGTAAATTTGATCTTCTTTATGAATGAAGTCTTATTGAGTTATGTCTTATGTGTTATTCTAAGAGCAACCACATGGCATCTTGCAAATGAATTTCAATTGCCACCTCAGCTCAGCCTTGCCAATGAAAATGTTGGCTCCACCACTAACTTCATTTTCCCTTGTAATACCATTTCCTTATTTCCTTATTGATAAAAGAGTTATTGTTATATATGTAATTATAATTATATTATTAAAATGTAGTATATAAGTTATTGTTATGTAATTATAGTCATATTGTTAAAACCTAAAGATAATTAACTAGGTATGTATAAATTTTATTAACTAATTAACAATTTAATATGTTAATATTTATGATTAAATAAATATTTTAAATTTCTAAATTTCTAAATAATTAAATATTTATAAAGTGATAAATGATGTGACAGTGGGGAGTGGGGACCACTTTTGAAAATATGGTGGTATTGCACTGATGTAGGGATTAATTGCAAATCTAACGTGACACAAGTAAAAGAACAGTAACATTTCACTGATGTGGATGATCTAAGTGAATTAAATGAGTTAACCTGGAAAGGTTTAAGCTAGGTGGATTAAAAGTTGGGTAAAATATACTTATATTGTGCACGATCTTGTGTTGTTTTATTCCAAAAAATTAGATTACCATGGAAATAATATAGTTTTTTTTTTTTCTTTGTAATGATAATTAACATTTTTTCTTTGAAAAGGGTAATACAAACACCCTCTAAATCCAGTATGAAACTACACCTTTGTACACAAACCTTTTAGAGAAGGGACATACTTTTCAACCGTATGATATTGATAGGTCAATGACCTTTTGGTAGTAATAATTAATAATTTAAATATTCATAAAAAAGTATTGGAAGAAAATGTTTAAAATCTACTCTGATTTGACAGATTTCTTTCAAACCACAACCTACTCGTCGGGATTGTTTGTTATACTTGCTTTGACGGACTAGTTTCAAACAACACCCAACCCATACAACTTGCTAATGATTTAAGTGCAATTGGAATTTATATAAATGCAATCATTCAATTTGTGATTTAATACAAATTAGGTGGTACATGTAGATGTACATTAGTCTCATCCGATGACGAATGATGGGATCAAATGGACCACATCCCCTTGCCGAATCAAAGGACAAATCCCCTTGAATGGTCCTACGACCGATCAATGGGAGGGGTCGACAAGGAGTGTTCCGAAACTAGACAAGTTTTCGGATAAAAAATGCCAAGGAAAACATGACTAAAATAAAGGAAAATTAATTTTTTTGGATTTGAAAAAACCGAGCTGCCGGACACCCCAACCAAACAACTTAAACTATCTCAGACAACTCAAGTTGTCTTGAGATGCACAATGTTCGATCAGTTTTTTCCAAACGTCTACAGTCGCTAATGGTTTTTTCAAATATACGTTTTTTACCGTTTTAAACTATTTTTTTCGTCGCTCTTATCCACTTTTTAAATAGTATGAGTATATATACTCCTAATTTGCCATTTTTTTTAAGACTCTTAAGTTTTTGAACATTCTTACATATATCTAGTTTGTTGCTTTCATTTTTGTATGAATACCAAAGTGCCTTTGGTAGATTTTCCCAACTTGTGGAACACATACATGGTATCGAAATATTAATTAAGGATAATGAACTTACATGATCCATCAAATATCTAAAAGTTCTTTTGATTATCAATTGGTGTTGCACTCCCATTTTCTAACATGTTTTTGCCTTCTATATATGGTGTTGCAACTTGCTATTCGCTACCATAAAAACTATACTACATGTTTGGTCCGTAACATTTATGTCTCATTGCATTGTTGGTCCAACTAAAGAAAATATTGCAAGCATAGTCCTTAATCCAAATTAAATTAATAAGATTGGTCCCTGGCATTTGACACATTCTCCGTAACCTCCTCATGTGTGCACCCATTATGCCTTTGCTACACATCCCCACTCTCCTTGGTGTCATAAGAAAACATAACTAGAAAAGTATTGTTTCCCTCTTATGCAAAGTCAACATTACACATACAAACGTGCAATATATGTATCAACATGTAGAAGTTAACATTGAACGAAATCCATGTGTGTGTGGGTCTATGAGAGAGAGTATGATATGATGGTATTGGTTCCTCCCTGTGAAGGTTGTTTCAAGTTGTATTTTTTTAGTTCTAGTTTGTGGTATCGATTGTTTAGGTTGTTTCAATTTATTTTGCATGTTTGTCGCTATTTTGTATCATCTCCTCTTCACACTGGTAGTTAATTTGGATCAGGGGCTAAGTTTGTAACATTTTCTATAGTTAGAGTGAGACAAAAACATTAGAAACCAAACATGTACGATATTAAAAAATATACAAAAGAAAAGATTCTATTATGTCGGTCACTCGTTCGATTAATGGAATTATTCAAGTATCAATTATTCAAATAACAACAAAGACCATATAATAATATTATTCCCATTAGTTCTTTCAATTAACTAAATTTCTAAGAAAATATCAACCATATACTTGTGCTCATATAACTAATATTGCTTGAATTATTTTTGTTTATATTCAAACAAATTAACAAACATTAATACGGAATTACAACAAGAACAAGAAAAATAAGTTGATATTTATAAGTTAACGAGTTAGATCAAAATCAAAAGTATCGATGTTCTTGTTCAATGTTCATACTTCATACCGTTTAGTTTAATCTTACAACGCATTTAGTTCTAACTGAATTCAGAAATTCGAATCACAATCTGTCATCAGAATTATTCCAAAAAGTAGAAGTAAAGAGATATAGATTACACCGATTCTATAAATCACTTGGATGAATTGTTGGACTTGGACATCATCTTCCTGAACTCCTCAAAATTAACATAACCATCGCCATCGGAATCCACGGATTTGATCATATTAGTACAATCATCAAGGCTGCAGTTTTCTTCCATTCCCAACCGACTTAAGATCTGGTGCAACTCGGAAGCCGAAATCAACCCGTTCTTGTTCAGATCGTAAAGCTTGAACGCATCATGAAGCTCCTTCATCCCGCCGTCATCTTCGCCGCCGGTGTTAGCGCTTCCTTTAAGGAAACCGGCGAACTCCTCTAGGTTAATGAAACCGTCGCGGTCGGTGTCGATATCCTCCATTATTTGCTTTACCACGTCCAGAGACGTGTCGGATCCGAGAGCCTTCATGACATCGACGAGCTCCACGGCGGTGATCTTGCCGTTTCCGTTGACGTCAAAACGGCTGAAGACTTGCTTTACTTCGTCCATGTTGGTAAGATACGCCGACGAGTTGTTGCTTTCAGTTGCCATCGCTGAAAGTAAGGATGGGATAAGGGGGGGATATGGAGAAGATGAGTAGGAGATTGGACGCGTGTAGAGTAGACGACGTTAGGGTCGAATCCAATTCGTCAAAAGCTGAAATGCATCAAATAATGGTCAAAAAGGAGCTACAATTATTTATCGCATGTTTCTTTTCATGAAAAAAGAAATTTAATAGCATTGAATAAAAATTAAATTTTTTTAGACAAAAATACATAAATGGTCACCGTCGTTTACACCCCGTTCCCGAGTTCAACTTAACGAGAGAAAGGAAAAGAAATGAGTGGAAATGAGAAGAAAATAAAAAAATTGATGTTTCCGAGTTTCATTAAAGGAGGGAAGTGGAAGGAAGTGGAGAGAAATGGGAGGACCACTTTCCCTCCTAACTTTCCTTCCGATTTGGGAGGATTTGGAAGGAAAGAACAAAATGATTCATTTTCCTTCCACTTATCTCCAACCCGGGAACACGAAAGAAAATTTTGTTTTCTTTTCCTTTCTCTTCTTTTCTCTCGTGACTTTCTTTTCTCTTCTCTTCTTTTCTTTTTGTTAAACTCGGGAACGAGGCATAAAAAAGTAATGTTTAATTTTTAATTTTTTTTCCACAATATTTATGGTTATATCAACATAATCTTAATTTATAAATCAAAAAGCTTTTCTCCTTCTTTGTTTTTAAAAGAAGTTGACTTCGAACTTTTCCTCACAATGGCGATGTGGAAATTCGGCAGTGAGGATTACATCTTGGACCGACTTCAACATATGAAGGAGATTCTGGTCTTTTGTTCCATTATTTGGTTGGTGCCTATTTATTGGGTAGGAAAACCCTCCGATGTGCCCTAGGGCACACACTGTGATTCCAAGTTTTCTTATATCAGAAAACAAACTTGACGAATGCCTGAAGCAAAAATCTGCAACTCATGCCATTGAGTATTACAAGTCCGTAATGTAACGGCCCACGTTTTCTATACATACTTCTAATGGAATTTTTAGAGTTTTATCTATAATTGCGGAATTCTATTAAAATTAAAACACCTTAAATCTCAGGTTTAATCACATATTTACAATAAAATCTTACATACAAAGTTGAACAACAAGGAAAATAAAAATTTATTCTTCTATTCTGGGTCTTTGTGCTCATGTCTTCTCATGTTCACCGACTGCTACCTGTTACCTGCTACCTGCTATCCGCTACCAGAACCTGTAAAACATGAAACATCTACTACGTCAGACCACATGTCTGGTAAGGTATATTCTATTCAGTTTTTTCATGTTTAATGTACGCTTTCTTTCTTATCTCTTCATTCTCTTACTCTGCAATGTAATCTCTTTTTATAATAACATACACTACTATTCTTCTCATTCATCTATCTATTGTATCTTTTCTCATCTCTACATACTTTATCATTTGTCTTCTTTTCTTATTCTGCTCTATTCTCGATCTCATCTTTCTCTGATCTTTCTCTACTCTACTCTTACTCTTCCTTAGCCTCTTCAGAGACACATGTCTTACATTCTCTTAGCCAATTCTCAGGCTCATCTCATACTCTACACACATTCTATCTTCTCTTTCTTTCTTTCACACACTTTATCTCTTTAAATCTTTCTCTGCTCTTCTCTATATTATGTGCATGCTTTTCTTTATCTATTGCTCTGTTATTCTCATGTCTCTTACTCTTAGTATGTCTGCATCATATTCTGCTTACTCTTCATCTATTCTTCACTCTAATGTCTCATCATTCTGTTCCCATCTAGACCCAACGGTCACATCTCATAATCTAATTGTAACACTAAGTTCGAGGTATAATTGATCATGCAGAGCCTTCTCCAATAGCATCCTACTTTTTGGCCACTGCGTCGTGGCATCCATATACCGTGCCGCGGGGCAAAGTACATTGTCGTCTACTTAGGACGAGAACGTAACTCATTCTCCGTCACCCTCACCGCGGCGTGACGATTACTCACCGCGTCGTGGTAACTGCTTGACAGGAATTCCTTAGTTGATTCCATTCCAACTTTGGAATAGTTTTTGTCCCAACTTCTAATGCGCGTAACTTCTTCGTTTCTAACCCGTTTTCTATGATCTTTATATCCACACTAAGATAAAGGAAGAACACTAAGAGGTTTGCTTTAATTGTTAATGTCTAGCACGATATCATATTAATTCACGTGAATGTCAATAACGATGATATATCTTGATCACATTTACTAAATCAAAGGATCCAAACATCATTAATGTATGATTATATGTAACATCCAGTTTCGAGATGTTTCTTATTTTGGATTTTGGCTTGCCACAACATGGTGATGGAGGAACCACGACGTGGGCATTATCTGTTGGAGGAACGCGCATCCATGTTGTACCACGATGTGGTAGGGAGCAGGCCACAACGTGGCGGCTATTTTGGTCCAAAAACCTAGATTTACGGGTTTGTGCCTTATTTAAAGACACTAAATCCTAGGGTTGCCTCATTTGGCAGCCTCCACCATTTGAGATCTGATCCCACCCAAAATTGTCACACCTCGAAACCGATGGCGGAAACGTTCCGGGGCGGAGGACGTCATGCGTAGTATCACAACAATTGTATCATAGTAAGCATAGTAAACACAACCAGACATTGAATACATACATAAAAAAGGTTTACATTGTTTAATACATAGTTTATACATAACAGTATATAACAAAAGTAAAATACGTGACTCCAAAATGCTCCGTCTTCTCCAAAAGTTGGCAAGAGTACCTGTCTATTGTTGCCCTGAGAATACAAGCAGTATTAAAATATCAGCATAAAGCTGGTGAGTTCATAAGCGTTTAGTTCTGGTGAAAGAAATATTTCTTTGATCCTTTGAAAAGTGTTTCCCAAGAAAATCCTATATTTTCTTATGAAAGATGTTTGATTATCCATTAGTTATATGTTAAACCGCCTGTTTATGAAAGGTTGAGTTATCCCAGAAAATCCTATATTTTCCATAAAAGTTGATAGTTGGTTATCTGATCTGGAATGAGGTGTACAAGTATCTACCATACTTGTATCGTTAGATGTAGTTTCCTTGAAAAACCCTGTTTGCTCTCTGTGAGGTGTATTAGCCTTATTACATTATGTTGGTGGTCTCCCAAGTTTTCGTTATGGATGTCATGATTTTATGAAGTGGTTGGAGAAAGCATATGGAATGTGTTGGTGCTATTTCCAGAGATCCTAACCAAGACAGATTTCAAGGACACAATCCAATTTATGTGGGGGATAATTGTAACATCCAGTTTTCAGGACGTTTCTTATTTCAGATTTTGGCTTGGCCACGGCATGGTGATGGAGGAACCACAACGTGGCATTATGTGACATCCCCATTATCACGGCCAGAAAAGACCGATTTTGTTTATGCTTTATAAAAATCAGAGTACCTCTTTTAATAAAAATGTTGCGGAATTTGTTCCCAGTAAAACATGATAAATACGTTATCAAAGCATTTCCGAATAAAAGTATTTTTATTCATTTTAAAACATTTGAGATGTCATCGTCAATACAGAACACAAGCATAAATAGAACTTACATTCATTATCACTAGTGATTTATATCTCCTTAATCTCTCAGTGTAATGTGACTTCATATCAACACCTGTGATATAAATAAGCTGGAGTGGGTCAGGTTGGGAAACCTGGTGAGTACATAGGGTTTTCAACCCACAATAATATAATTATTATGTTTATTCATCAAACAATTAACCCAATTACCCATCCCCATTATCGTATTTACTCTTAAGGATTTACCCTAAGAATCAACTATTCCTCGTTCATTCATTCCTAAGGATCATCCTAAGGAATTGGCACGAAGTCCATCGTCACCGGGTTTAGGCACTAAGTCTGCATAGTCGCCAGGGTTTATACAACAGGAACTAAGTCCGCATAGTCGCTAGGGTTTAGGTACTAAGTCTGCATAGTCACCAGGGTTTAGGCACTAAGTCTGCATAGTCGCCAGGATTCGGACACTAAGTCTGCATAGTCGCCAAGGTTTAGAGTACACCGGGTAAACACATTGTTCACAACACCTACAGGTTGCGAGCCTGCTAGTGTTCCACTGGACTGTCTAGAATAGTCCGTGGTTGTCATCCATACTCTGCTAGATGACGGGGCCATCATTTGGGTAAAAGGCTTCTCTCATTGTTCACCTCTCACCCTTATCTCATGGTCTATATCACCTCTCATCTCATCATCCAACTCATATTTCATCTACCCATGTTTTACCCAACATATTTTGTAGATATAAAATACATATACAGTTTAAATCATTTAAAGCATGTATGAAATCGTTCATCCAGCATAGACGGCAAGTATTCAGATAATATGCACACATAGCACGTAATTTATATACAATACTTCATATCTATGTGTAAGATGAAAGTAACTATCCACTCACTTGATAAGGTGGTGACTCGGTATTCAGACAACGCTTCGTTTACTTAACACAATTTCCTTTGACAAAACCTAGTATCATTACCACTAGAGTTTAGTCTAATGTTTGACGAGACTAATTAATAGTCTTGGTATTATTATCATTATATAAGATTTTAACACAATACTTTTCACCCACTATGTACAGACAGGGGCCAGACATGGAACACCGGAGGGCATGATCATTTTGGCATATAGCACTTCTGAAATCCAGCAACCCAAGCGGTCCTCCAAACCAGATTCCCCGTACCGTGAGTGGTTAAAAAGATATTATAACGACACTTATATAACTCATAATAATAGCCCAAATATTTATTATAAGATCCTAAGAACATTACTATATTGAAACATAAGCTATACTAAAGATAAGGTAGGCGTAGCTTACTTACACCGGGTTTTTCTCAAAACCGGGCTCCGCCGAAGCAGAGTTTCTGAGCCGAAGGCTCTTCTTTTCGGAGCTGTCGGGCGCTCCGGGGCTTCCGCCTCGTGCTAGGGAGTTACCCTAGGCTTGGGGGGGGGGGGGTTGGGAGGCTAGAGAGAAAGTGTGTAGAGATAGAAAGAGAAGGTGTTTGTGTGAGAAATGGAGGCTGCCCCGCACCTCTATTTATAGGTTGGAAATCTGATCGACTCGCCGAGTCGAAGTACTGACTCGCCGAGTCCATGCCACATGTCACCATTTTGGTGGCAAAACGTGGGTGACCTATATTGTGCCACGTCACCCCTTTTGCAGCAGCACCCTGCTGACTACTAAACCCCGTAGCTTTCGCATACGAGCTCTGTTTTTGACGTTCTTTATATCCAAGCGTAGGTAAAAACAAGATCTACAACTTTCCTTTTGACTCAATTGGCTAACTCTCGACCGATCTTAAATTTAACAGTGGGAGGAGATTATACTGTTAAATGTTCGCGTAAAATTCATAACTTCTACATACGGACTCCGTTTTCGTCTGTCTTTTTATCGTTGAGTTCCTATTAATGAGATCTTCAACTCTCATTTAGGTCGCGTAGGCCAAAAACCGCTCGAACTAAAATTCGAGTTTCGGGCCGTGCACTGCTATGCCAAATCTTAGAAAATTCATAACTTCCTCATACGAAGTCAGATTTGGGCGTTCTTTTTATGGACGCTCTCGGTTTAACATATTCTACAACTTTTGTTTAGATTGCTAAGGATAAAAAGTCCTCTATCGTAAATTCACTATTTACGTCTCCAGGTGCCGTGCCGGTTTGCCGCGAAACTTCGACGGGCCATAACTTCTTCGTTATAACTCGGATTTCGGCGTTCTTTATATGTACGGAACCCTTGTAACATATAATAATAATTGGTTAAGATTATTCCTTCTAAATAATCTTCCATAAAAAAGTCATTTTTGACGCTTATTGTCTTTAAATTGACTAGCCCGGATGTACGGGAGTTACACATTATCTGTTGGAGGACTGCGCATCCGTGTTGTACCATGATGTGGAAACTATTTTGGTCCAAACCCCTATATTTTCGGGTTTGCACCTTATTTAAAGACACTAAATCCAAGGGTTGCCTCATTTGGCAGCCTCCACCCTTTGAGATCCGATCTCACCCAAACCCTAGCCTCCATTGTTGATTTTGTGAGCTTTTGTGGTGACTTTGGTACCTTGAAGAAGAAGAAGGTGTCCTTGGTGGATAGATCCAACAAGAAAATCTTCTCATCATCATCTTGCGTATTTTATGGACTCTTATAAGTCCTCAAGCTTCTACCTTTTGTATTCAAGCATGTTAGATCCAGACTTTTACCTACTTTTCTCCATGTTTGGGATGATTTGAGTGGATGGGTTTCATAAAGTTGGCAACTTTATAGGTCCTTGTGGTTTCTTTGTAGTCTCTTGTCCCAGATCTGAAGAGTTATGGAGTTTCGGGTTCCATGCATGAGGTTTAAACCTTATTTTCACCTAACTTGAGTTCAAGACATGCATTGGACATGCATGTCTATAAAGCAATGATTTTTATGATGTACTGGGTGTATGAGAGTTTTCTGGAAAGTATGGATGAGTAGCTTGAAGGATTAAGAGCTGAATGCATTAAGCTGACCTGATCAGTTTCCACGATGTGGTGGGTTGGTCACCACGACCTGACATCGGGCAGTCTTTATGACTGTTTGATCTTGAAGCTGCCAGGACGTGGCCAATAGGTGGCCACGACGTGGGGGTCAACTGAGGTTGACTATGACTGTTGATTTTTTGAGCATGTTAACTTTTGGTCAACTGGTCAACTTGAGGGTTTTAGGATGTGGACTGAGAGAGTACTTATATATTGTTGTTTAGGTGCTTCGTAGTACCAGTCTTCACTGTTGAGAGCTATTGTGTATAAATGCTATTTGCGAGGCGAGTCTTCTCACTGTATTACCTATGTCATAGTGGTGTGAATGTTACACTAGTGAGTCTTATTTGTTGATTGCTGATATATGTGATTCGAGTTGCTGATAATTCTAGGACTGCTGTGAGTCCATAGGACTGCAGATAGTCCCCATGGTTGCTAATAACCCACAGGGCGTGCTGTTAGCCCAATGGGACTGCTGATAGTCCCTGGCGTTGCTGATAACATATAATTGTTATGTATGTTGTGTTGTATGTGATATTTTGGGGAACTCACTAAGCTTCGTGCTTGTAGTTGTGGATTAAATGTGTTTCAAGTACTTCAGATGATCACGAGAAAACGAAAGCTTGACTGTACACACATGCCTATAATTTTTGAGATTCCGCATATTTATGATACTCTGATACTGGGTGATGGTATTTGATATTTATGGTTTTCTTGACTTGGTTTTATGGAAAAAATGTTTTTAACTAATTTAAAAATGAAAATTTTGGTTGTTAAATTGGGACGTTACATTCTAAACATCCACTGAGATTATGTTAGTTATTTTGTCTAATTAGACCGTGTAAATTGATATAATTCTAATATATTAATTTTCATTGTGCATGATTCTTAAAATTGTTTTAAATCCAACAATTCCCAACAATGGTATCAAGGTAACTTTTAGACATTATAATCACCATTGATTGATTTTGATTGTTCGTGTTCATCGTTCTTGATGTTCATGGTAATGATCAAAACACTTCAAAATCAAAATATTTGGACATTTAGCGTTTAATGGTTTTAATATAAATTTTTTCAAGAGATTTTATTATGCTTACGGTTCCAAGAGAGCTAAAATGACTTTGGGTTAAATTTAAGCGATATGATCCCCCATTTGAGTTAAAACGAATTTGGGCGATTTCTAGTGGTTGCTTACAACTCCTAGAGAGGTACTTAAGTCGTTGATAAGAAAATGTTTGGTATTAAGTCCTAGCAGGGTACCGTAGTACTGTAATAACACCCATGTGTATGAACCGGTAAAAGGGATGTAGATTGGTCTATAGTTTTTGTGGAGTTTGGACCTACTACTTGATGAGTGAACCTAATGTAAGTTGTTATGTCTGTCTCTTTGTCATTGATCTATATTCGAAAAATGATAAACCACACCATCTGAGTAGCCCACATGAACCCGTCCCAAAGCCACGTGAGAGGTAAATCCATGAACACTAGCAATATTTTGGGCTTGTCAGGATTTGAACCATGAACCCTCCTGTGCGGAATTATGCGGAATTCCAGACTTTAACCATCATGATCTCATCATGTGGGCAATCTATTGTTTGTATAGTACAATGGTCGAACAAATGACAAACAACAACCAAAGGGCCTTTGGCCTAACGTATCAAGAGGTTACGGATAGGTGCCCCATCAACCAAAAGGTTGAGGGTTCAAGTCCCGCTTGGGACGAAATGTGTGTATTTAGGAGTAGAGTAGTGAGTGTGTATGTAAGTTATAACAAAAATGACAAGCAACAGTTTCGATATTTATTTTTATTCTCGTTGCACATTGCGAGTATCATGACCTATCAAAAGCCGAACAATATTTGGTAAGAGACTCGAAAAGCCGAGAGAACGAAATATGAATTGCGGAATATATAAATATTAGCTGACAAAATGAGACACGAAAAACGAATATGAGACAACATGACATCTATTTTAGAATACGAATTTGGCAAAAGCTTAGAACACGAATTTTGCAGAAAATACAAAATTAAAGAGTGTTCTTAAGTTGTTTATATACCAAACAACTACACCCACTTTATACACATGGAAGAAGAGTAACACGGTATAAAATGTGACAAAAATTAGTTAAAACGCTTACATGAACCCTAATAGACAAAAAGCCGTCTAAAACTAAGCACTTTTCTGGACCAAAAATAGGCCTTTCATAACTAATTAATGGGCCTAAATCTAAATCAGTTAACCAGGCCCATTATCCACCTTTAATATATAAGGCGAATAGGTTTCATCATATTTCAACATTTTCTTGATCTTATAAATATATGTTGATCAATTCAACAAAGAGACATTATCCATACATTTAAAAAAGTATATATATAAAAAGTACATAGTTCAGAAATTCTTTTTATTTGCTTATGCAATCAAACAAATTACAGATTCTTCTCTCATTTTTATTGTCATTGAAGAATCCTTGCCTTTTGGCTTTCTGGTGTGATTTGGTTGTCATTTTAACCAAATAAAAAACTCAAAAGGAGAATTTATCCTTTTCCCTTCTGGTCTTGAAATAATAAGAAGCATTTACAATTTCAAATAATTAGCATTTACAAACATCTAACACCAAGGAATCAAAGAATTGCTAAATCCCACAAATATTTCTTTAAAAAATTTTCATACGCGCTTTTGGATTATAGTTTGACGGGATTTTCGTGTCCACATGATCAAGAATCCCAAAATCCCAATTCCAGCAAATGTCCACATCACCACCAGCCAACTTGGCATTGGAGTTGGAAACAAACCTAACAATAAAAATAATAATAATAACAATAATAATAATAATATCATCAACAAAAACAAAACTACTTGATGAAAATAAAACTCACCATATCCAAACTTGATACATATGAAGAGTTCAATGATGCAAATTGCAAGGGAAAGCCAACAAAAAGCTCCCACCTTTTTCACCGGTTTTCTGAAAACATATTTATATCACCATAAAAGAAGTTATATAAGTAACACAACCCCTCTTTTAGATTTTCATTATAAAAGAATAGTGTTTCAAGAAAAAGATGTTTGTACTGTGTTTGACATGTATTGGACTATGACTGATGTCAATGAGACAATGTCAGATACCCTTAAATACTATTTATACTGTGTTTGACATGCATTGGACTATGACTGATGTGAATGGGACAATGTCAGATACCCTAAAAATACTACTATTATATATGGATAAATATAAGAAAAAGAGAGGTTTTTTTTTTTTTTTTACCGATCTTGTAGGTAAGAATTATACTCTCGAATAGTAGGGATAGCAATGAGCCACCAAAGGACCAATCTATAAACAATGATTGGGTTTCTAGGAGGAACCCAAAGGCAAAATTTTAAGAAAAAAGTATTGAGTTCAACTGTTAAGAACACAATGCAAAGGCTAAGAACTTGAATGAATCTCCATGGCCCAAGAAGTGGATGCCATTCATCTTTGTCCCAATGTGCAGGAGTGAATTGACCCAATGTTCTTTTCACCTGAAAAAAAGAAATAAAAAATCAGTTAAATAAAGAGTTTTTTGGAGCTTAGATATTTAGTAAATGTATAAAAAGATGATGTACTTTGCCTAATATATTCGGTTGACGACTTATTCCAACCCATTCGTATGTTTTTCCATCAAAATATCGAACAGTATGCATTCCTGCCCATATACCTGTGCAAAAGCAAGGGCTTTTTAGTAAATTTCCAAATGTATATGTTGAAATTTGAGTAATTTGGAGATGATAAAGTACAACACTATATGCTTTTTATGGTTTCTTACCAAACCAATTGCAGATTAATATATCAAGAATAATGCTATCCCACCAACACTCATTGAAATTTGGCAACATATGGCGAAAAGTAAGCTGAAAAATAAAAGAAAAACATTAATTCATATGACAGAAGCTCAAGTTTTGAAATAAAAAACGAGTTATATTTCAATTTGTCATTCCATGATTTTTTTTTTTATAAAAAAGAAGGTAATTTGCTTGTCCTCTTTCCAAAAATAAAATGGAAAAAAGAAACAACACTTCATGGCTAAGGAATGGAAGGAAGGAATCACATTCCTTCAAGAATGGAATGAACCATTCCATTCCTGTGCTGATTCCAACATACCAAACACTAACCTCCATTAATTCAAATCCAATTGATAACACCCATAAAAGGGGCTGATTACGGATCATTATTGCTTTACCCCACCACCCGAAAATATGAGCAGGAACAAATTCATCAAAAAGTGTCTCCTGAAAAACCCAAAACAATTTCAAATCTAAAAATGAAAAAAGACTTGTTTGATACTCAAAACTACAAAATCTTTTTTCAAAAGGAAAAGAAGATATGAAAAAGATTGTGAAAGAAGAAATCATACATAAACATTTATAAACCTGCTAGTTGGATTATCAGCCACATAAATTCGACAATCACTACCATATGATCTCTCAGGAAGCTCTGAAAAGATGTCAAAGATAAAGTCAAAGATAAAGTCAAAGATAAAGTCAACACATCAAATAAACCAATTTATATGAAATGTAAATAATAAAAAATATGTTACCAACTCCAAGATCAGGGTGGAGATACTTCATAAGCTGCCTAGCATCATCACGATTCTGACATGAAAAGTTTTAGGTGGCGGGGATTGTGGAAATTACAAATTTGCCCCCCAAAAAGGTTGAGAAGCCACTATGATATAATGGTTCCATATAAGGGTATTAGCATAAAGAAAGTAAAGATAAAAAAGTCAACCTGGAAAAGCAAAAAAGTCAAAGCAACAAGGTAGATAACAGCCATTCCATGAACTAAACGCCAAATTGCAGGATGTGGTCTAATTAGTAACCTGAAAAAGATCATGAGATTGAAAGATTAAAGTCTTGTAGGGGTAATGTTGTCATTTTCTCAAAAACTTAATTATAATGATATGGGCAACTTTTTTAAATCAAGAAACTTACGTTGAAGGAGCTTGCAGCAAACAATAAGTCAGAAAAACTGCAATCATTGCCCATATGCCCCTTTAATAAGAAATAAAGATTAGAATAAATGAACAATAATTGCATGAATGACACAAAATCATCACATGAATAATAATAATAAAAGATTCACCTTTTGACTGATGTAACAAGATCAGGCGATGAATTACTTTCAGGAGTAAGAGCTCCACTTGCCCAACTGAAAAGTAAAATAATTTAATCATAACTTATACAAAAACAAGATTTTAAAACCCAAATGAAATGGTTAATGATTAGAAATACAAGAATCTTGATTTTTGAGCATGAAATTCAAGAAACTTACATAAGAAAACATGCACCAATGAATAACAATGAAATAGTTCGAGGCTTGTAGGCCCAAGCTGTCCATGGGTCGAGTTCTTCATCAGTAGATGAAGTGCTCACTTCGCCATTAATATTGTAATGAATTATATGTTCTCTTCTTCTTCCTCTCCTATTAAAACCATTAGTCTCCATAAAGCTGTATCTTTGATCACTACAAAACAAATCACACCATGATAACCATGATAATCGATTATGTAATTGCGTACTATTAGCAAATAAATTAAAAAACCATGATTATAGTTGATTAGTGAATAATCCTTAAAAGAAGTCAATAAAGGGATATGTAAAGTAAAAGTACACAAGAAATTAAGGCCGAAGGGATGTGGTTTTATTTCCATGGAGAATAGCTGGATGCAATGCATGAATTTAAAAAAGGGGCAAATGAATTTAGGTTGACTAAAAGGTCAAGATTAGAAAAAGAAGAAACGGAAGAAGACACAAAACGTCATACGATTATCATTTTATAATCAAAGAATTTAAATTGATTTCAAAGATTATCGTATATGAAGAATTCAAGTAAGATTCGAGAGGAAATTTATGAGAAAAACACTATTTTCACACACAGAAAGAGATTAGAGACCTTTGATAAGTTGACGAAATTCTATCGATCCTTGCTTTTCCTACAGTTTTCTAATTAAAAAGGATCGAAGAATGTATCAATTCCACAACATAATTCAAACACCCACATATTGGCTTTCAATCATATCGCCATCGAATCTCAAATCAAACACTAAAAAAAAACCATGTCGTCAAAATGCGATGCATAATCAACAAACCCCACTTGAAATTTCCATCAAACATTGAAAACCCATATCAGAACCAAAAAAGAATACAGAAATTAATGAAGAGATGGTAATACAGAGTGCATGAAAATGGATAAAGAAGGTACATATAGGTATTAAAAAGTACACAGACATACATGTACATCAGAACAGATTATCAGGAGAGAGAAAGAGAGAGTTTATTACATATTAACTGAGCCCTAGCCGCAAGATTGGAAGAAAAAAAAGATCCGTACCCTTTGATCTCTGAAAGAAAAGAGGTCAATGATGAAATATATATTGGGAAGAACTGATGGAAGGTATGATTAATCAGGGTTTTGAAAGGCTAAAAGCTAACTGAATTCTTTTCTCTCTTTCAATTTATATTCTTTCAAAAAGGTTTCTTGATTAATCCGTGTCTGTATATATATAGGGCGTGTATGTATATATTGGTGCCACAGAGAGATGAGAGAGAGAAAAACAGTGAAATGGGAGAAGAAAAAGTACGATGGTCCAGAGAGAGAGAGAAAGAAAGAAGACAGATTTTATAAGATAGAGGAGAATTAGGAAGCCAAAGAACGTAACATAAATTGTATGTGTAAGTGTGTGTTGTATAATTATGCGATAATAATATCCTTTTGTTTTATTCTTTTTATCTCCTTTTTCTTCTACTTTTTAAGTTTCAAGAAAAAAGTTTATGGCTTTTATAAGTTTAGACCCAAAAGAATGGATAAAAGTTGCACAAATTTATATCGTTTAATTCAACGGTTTTGATAAAGTTTATATTATAATAGATAATTATGAGATTTAAATCTAAAGATAATAGTATAATTTATTACCAAATTAAGATCTAATACTTGAAATGAAAATTAACTTTTGCTAATATATATAGATTTTTATAAATATGTTTTTAAAATAACAATTAAATAGATTTTTTTAATAGAATTGGCTTTTTTTAAAGTGGAAAGAATTATTCAACTTAATTATGACCAACATTTTTTTTGTGCTTCTTCATTCTATTTTAAGACATTTAATCATTTAATCATGTTGGGATTTTGATTGATGTTTTGCTATGCTTTTATATGGTTTTCAGTATTCAAATTAATCTTCAAAAATCTAATCTTTTCGGGATTAGTGTCTATCAATAGGGGTGGATTAATTTGTTTAAGTTACATATTGTAAAAGTGCAAAATTGCCTTTTATTTACTTGGGTCTCCTGCTTGGTGCTTATATGTCGTGGTTTGGATATTGGTTCATTGGAAGCTTTGGATATTGGTTCATTGGAAGCTTTTTACAAAGCTTTGCTTCTTAAATGGAAGTGGCGTTTTTAATGGATTACGATTCAATATGGGTTAAAGTTTGAAAGTATTTGTATGGGAAACATGGTGGTTTTAGTTGGAATGATGGTTCGGTTCGTAAAAGATGAGTTTGGCATTCGATCATTGGTACAATCAATCAACTCATGACATCGGAGTGATCTCAATGGATGCTATTATTCGAAAAGTTGGTAATGGATTGAGTACTTCTTTTAGGAAAGACAAGTGGATTGATGATAGTCCTTTGATGGTGTGGTTTCCTAGACTTTTTATTTTGGAGACTGATAAAGATTGTTGTATTAATCAAATATGGAATGGGGTTGATTGGAATTGGAGTTGGTCTCGCCCAATCAAGGGGTACTCAATTTGCGATGCTACAAGATTTGACGACCCTTATCTTTCAGTTCGTTTTTTCGGAGTGTAGAGATAAGTAGGTGTGGGATGTTGGCGGTTCTGTTGAGTTTGTCGCGTTAGAGGCCCATACATTTATAGATGATATTATTCTTCCATACGGTTCTCTTTCTGCCAGATGGAATAAATATGTCATTCTTAAAGTAAATATTTTCTATTTGAGATGTCATTTAAACAGGTTACCAACCCGTATGAAATTGGTTAATAAAGACGTGGATGTCCCCTCGGTGGTTTGTTCTGATTTCAATGATGATTTGGAAGATATCTATCATCATCTCATTCGGTGCGAAGTGGCTGGTAATCTTTGGACGTTTTTTGAGAGATGGTGTGATGTTGTTATTCCTAATTTTGCAGAAATTAAAGATATGGTTGTTTGGATCGATTCCTTTCGTTTGTCTGTTGTCAAAAAAAGTACAGTGGAAGCAATTGTCATGATTATGTGGTGGTTGCTTTGGAATTTTAGGAACGATATTATTTTTAATGGTCAAAAGATAAAAAGAATTATGTTGATTGATAGTTTGATCAATTACTCATATAATTGGTTTGTTTGTAGAAATAAGAAACTTTCTATTAGTCGGGTTGCGTGGTTTTCAACCCCTATTCTTTCCATTCCCTTGTAATTATATCATATATGTAGGGGTGGCAAATCGGGTCATCGTGTCGTGTTTTTGTCTGACACGACACGACACGACAAAGTTTTTTGTAACACGAACACGACACGACACGATGTCGTGTTTTTTTTTCAACTAACACGAAAACGAACCGTTTAAAAAACAACAAACACGACACGACACGACAAAGATGACATAATATAACAATTAATTTATTTAATTAATACTTAATCATACATAACACGACAAACATGAAAAACACGACTGACAAATGCTAAATCGTGTCAATTTCGTGTCGAATTTTGAACACGAACACGACACGACACGACGTCGTGTTTTTTATACTTGACACGAATTCGAATTTCAGTTTCATCCCAATTTCGTTTCGTTTCGTGTATTTTTGTTGTGTCGTGTCATCAATTGCCACCCCTACATATATGTTAGCTTTTTGCTAACTTTCTAATAAAATATTCAGTTAAAAAAGTATCGAGTTAGGATTATATTTTTTGGGTGGACATCTTTAATTTCTCTATTGATGTTGAGATGAACCAAACCAATTCCAAAGGAGCAACTTGGACTAATAGGTAAGATAAAATCGAACCGAAAAGTATGGTACAATCTATTTATTTCACTCTTTAATTTATCCTTTAAATGTCTTGATTCATTAATCATTATAAATCATCCACTATATTGTATTTATGATGTCTTGAATCTTTTTCATGGTGTTTGCTTCTTTATGTTTGACATTAAGTGGCTAGGTTTCTTATATGATTCTTCAATCTTAGAGAATGTGGACTCGCTTCAAGATATTTCATACTCATACTCATTCATTTAAGACTCAATTTCTTTATTACTTTTTGCTCAAATCTTTACAAATTGAAATATACTAATGAGTTTATATTAATTCACGTGAAATATCAACATTCAACACACTTTCACCTGCATGAGGGTAACATTATTAGTAAGCATCATTTGAGTGACCCACACCAACCACTCCAAAGGCCCACGTGGGAGATCAATCACAGAACACTAAAAATATTTTATGTGTGCTATGGTTTCGACTATAGACCTGACATCATGTGTGGAATTTCATTCCTCAATCGTAGGGACATGTAATGCTATTACTATATATCTACTGTTAAAGTTTTGATCACAACAAACATAAAATAAATCCATTTTTAAAAGACAACATCCAATTACTTAAATGAATCAACCATCTCATCGACGGTGGATTCATTCACCAAACCTCAAGCCATATGTATATCATATAGGCTTTATCATGTGATTTATTGGTAAACCCCGACATCGTTTACACCAAGAATGTATATGGCTTTACATTTAATCTAAATACAAACATCTCAACTACACAAACCAAAAGGTCAATTTTGCTTGGTTTTAACATCTCATCATAGTCTTCTATTCCAATCAAGGAATATTGATTTGAAATAGTATTATATGAGACTACGATTCATGGTAAAATCAAACAGACCCTTTAATTGGTTGTTTGTAAAAATCCAAATTAAGTATAATTAGTCCATATAAGGGAAAATGACCTAAAAGGGTATTATAGTTCTCATTTTATACACTTTTATTCCTTATTTTTTCTTGTAAAATAAACCCTTGAACTTGTTTTTGTACACATTCAATCCTTATGACCGGCTACACAGGGTTAAGTTCTCAATTTGTACACATTTAGTACTTTATGTTTTTTTTTTCAAAATAAGTCGTTGTTTTTGTACATATTTAGTCCTTATGATTGGCTTCTTCATGTTTTGCTAACGTAACATCCTACATGAGAGAATCATTAATGAGGTATTTTCATCTGTGATTGATGTGTTTTATATATAACCACTTAAAAAGATTTAAATTTATATCCTACTTATTTAACTCATCTAAAACACAATATGCAGTGTACCTAGTCGCGTAATAGTAAAGTAAAGTAAGTAAGAGTCGATCACAGGGAACATAATTCTAATTAAGAAAATATTGCTACTAATTAAACTAAAGAAACAAACTTTAACCGAGGGGGGGGGGGGTTATCTGATT